ACACAACAACAACAAATACTAGGTGTAAACTGAACTGAGGGCTCTTCCTGGCTGTAAGAAACCTCAGGATTTTGCAGGCATCATACCTATTCTGACTGTTGTTGCTTTTAAATATCCAAACAAGCTCCCCTCCCCATCCCAGTTTATTCTCTGTAAAATTCTGGTATCAGTCATGATTTTTCAAATCTAGGCTAGTATCATAGAATCATAGAATCATAGAATTGGAAGAGACCACAAGGGCCATCTAGTCCAACCCCCTGCCATGCAGGAACTCAAAATATCCCCGACAGATGGCCATCCAGATGGGTTTCTGTCTGTCCTGGGAGTTATCAAGACAGGCTGAGGTTTATTCCTCAGGTCCATTTCAAATGAACTGGTTACTTCTGTACCCTCTGGTTAACTCCAACAGATGATATATTGCATAGAGGAGGACAGGGTTGGAAGGAAACCCAACCCTCACCACAGTAAACCACATCTCAAGCAGGACAGAGAATATGGGTGATGGGGAGGGGGGAGAAACTCTGGTATATTTAGATCAGGACTGGATTCAGAAGCAGGAACAACCACTATAAAGCATGTAGTCAAGAAACAGAATAGTCTATATGATGGAATCATAGCAGAAGATGGAATCATAGTACTATAATTGCATAGTGTGGAATTGCAGCCACATGAAACAATATACAAATACATATATGTAAATTTTATGACAATTACAAATCTCTTTAGTCCACTTTTTGGGTGATACATTTTCTCCACATTTTGGGGCTGCACTGAGATTTTTTAGTTCACCCAACCAAAGTTGTCATGGTACGGTTGGTGTCCAGGTTTTCCTTCAATGGACCAAATGTAGTACTTGCATTCTCAGTCTTCCTTACATTGCCCTTAAAAGTTTTTAAAATGCAAGGCACCTTCTTCTGTTTTTTCCCTCTTGTTGTAACCAATTCGTCAACATTGTATAGAAAAGTGAACAAGTTATTTTTTTTAAAGGCAGTGAAGTATGAAATGAGTGTCATTAAAAAGTAGATTATCTGGTTAATCTCTTCAACCATCTGATTGAACTTTCCCTAGATAAATCAATGTACCATAATAATGCTTCTTTTTATAAATTAATTAACCTGCTACTCTCATTCTTTGGTGGTGTTTTTGTGTTATCTGTTTCATCCTCTTACTACCTACTCAATTGCATCCTATGGAGTTCCACTCAGCCACTCTTGTAGGTGCTGTGCTGAAGACGCAATCTTCACTTAATCACTGCCAAAAACCTAGATAATTAACTGGCACTTCCATTGAAGGGGTGGCATTTGTAGGTCACTAGAACTTAAAATTATTATCTCCTTCTAGGACACACTACAAAGCTGTTTCCTGCTGATGTCCCTGTAGTCAGTAAGGCAATTTATCACCATCTTTTTTAAAAAAAAAAAATTATGCAAACTATTATAAATCCTTCAGATTGATACCATATAAGGCTATGGTTTTCAGATCAGGAGCATTTCAGGGCCCAAACCTGATTCCTGAGATGCTCCCCGATATCACAAGCTGTGGGGATTTCATAATGAATGATCCCTGTGATGTCACAGAAAGTGAATCCTGGTGATATGAGCACAATACATTAAGGATTGACCACAATTACTCAGAGTATGTACATTTGAAGGTGCTCCCCATAATTCCTTCTCATTCTGAAGTTTGTAGGGTAGCTTATTACTAAATCTTGGAATCTTAACATTTTTATACTACAGTTTCCAGAATCCTTTAGTCATCATGACCCTGGCCATAAACAGGGAGCTCTCATGGGGGGGGGGGGTTGACATTTCCAAACACTGCTTTTACTACAGAGACAGTCTTCTCAGTGATGAGTTTCTAAGTTGCAGAATGTTCTCCCTACAGAATTTATCATGGCTTTAGCATTTCTTTTCTTTCTACTTTCAAGTTAAAAACTTTTTTTAAAAAATCCTGCTGGGATGTTAAGAAAAACGCTCTGTAAATACTTGCATACCACAATTAACGAAACCTCTGGGCTGTGAAACATCTTTTTACACAGAGTTTTTAAAATACCTATCCAGTCTGCCTTTCCTCCTCATCCTCTATCTATCTGCAAGATGGGTTTGTTAGTGGTGTGTTCCTTCAACTTGTTTCCAGCTTATGGAAACCCTAAGACAAACCTATCATATTGTTTTATTGGCAAGTTTGTTCAGAGGGAATTTACCATTGCCATCCTCTGAAGCTAAGAGAGTATGACTTGCCATGGTAACTCAGTGGTTAACCATGCCTGAGCAGGGGTGCAAACCCTAGCTTCCCAGTGCTCTAGTCCAGGGGTAGGCAACCTTTCCCCTTTAAGGGCCAAGGGACTTCAGCTCCCAGAATCCCAGGAGCTATTGGCCAACATGGGACTATTGGCCAACATGGCTGAGGCTTCTGGGAGCTGAAGTCCTTCGGCCCTTAAAGGGGAAAGGTTGCCTACCCCTGCTCTAGTCCATCACCTAAACCAGTGATGGCAAACCTTTTAGAGATTAAGTGTCCAAACTCAGTGGCGTTCCCACACTGGGTGTCACCTGGTGCTGGGGGGACTTCCATGGTTTGAGACTTTCACCTTCCGGGGACAGGACTTGCAGGGGGAAAACCCAAGGCACACTCTGTCAGCCTCAAGCTAGCAATAGCAAACCCCCCTCTGATGAAACTTGCCAAGAAAACTCCATGATAGTTTCACCTTAGGGTCGCCATAAGTCGGAAACTACTTGAAGGCACCATACACAAGTCACACTGTCTCAACCTTAGAGGATGGCAATGGAAATCTGCCACTGACAAAGCTTGCCCTATAATAGTTTCACCTTAGGGTCACCAGGAACTGGCACTCGGAAGGGAGGGAGGGAGGATGCTCTGGGCCCATAAGTTGGAAATTACTTGGAGGGACACAACAGCTAACAGTTGGGATAGTGACCTGGAATTATCTGTGTAAGAATAGTGGCATGAAGGCTGTTAGCTGCCCCGATTGTTCTCATAGGGGCAGGATCCAAATAAATATTATTATTATTATTATTATTATTATTAAAGCATAATGTAATAACAAGAAGAAAGAGAGCCAGTGGTTTGAATGTGCAACTCTGGAGACCAGGGCTCGAATCCCAGCTCAGTCACGAAACCCACTGGAAGACCTTGGGCAAGTCACACTCTCTCAGCCTCAGAGGAAGGCAATGGCAAATCTCCTCTGAAGAAATCTTGCCAAGAAAACCCCATGACAGATTCACCTTAAGGTCTCCATAGGTTGGAAACGACTCGGAGGCACACAACAACAACATGGATGGCCTCAGTACACCTCACAAAACTACAGTTCCCAGAATCCCATAGCATAGCAAAGTGCAGGCCTTCTGGACAAAAGGGGTGGAGCTTCCGGCTGGAAGGCCCGCACATGAGCCCTCCTTGTCAAAGTTCAGTTTTTCACAGGAGAACCAGGCCATGGCAAGGAGTCAGGCCGACCACATGTGCCTCCCTGCCTCTCCTTGCCATGGCCAGTTCTCCTGAGGCAAACCCAGCCACCACAAGGAGTCAAGCAAAGCATGCATGCCCCCCACCCCTACTTGCTGTGGCAGCCGCGTGCCCTCAGAGATGGCTTCACACACCAAAGAGGGACCTAAACCATTACACCACACTGACACTCAAGATGTGTGTGTCTGTGTCTGTGTGAACAGCATCAGCACTGAGAAGATGGTGAAGGAGGGCTGGAGAAATGCTGACTTTTTGTGTTATTTTGCAGCAGCGTGTCTGCAGTAAGCAATGCAATAATGAAAACTTGTGCTGGAAAAGAGAAGGATTCTGCTCTAACAGATCTTACAGTATCCTACAGTGATAAACAATTGTCTCCAGAAACTCTTACTGAGCATATGTAAGCAAAGAGGAAAGCAGATTAAGACTGTCTCATCTGCTAGTCCCAAAACATGAATCATTAAAAAAAAAAGTGAGGCTGGTAAAAGGTGGTGGTGGGGGGAATAATCCCTGGATGCATTTTGGAGGAAACTTTGATGTTATGTACAGAAGGCTCAAAATGTTTTTGTTTACTTATTAGAGACTTACTTGATCTGGTTGTTTCATTTCACATATACATTTTAAATAAAAAGTTTGCTGACAGATTTTGAACTATTCTATTTCTTAAAGTGGTATAGGAATGTATGCTTACATTTTCCTTGTTGTTTTGCCTCTAGTGCCAATTTTTCTACTATAATGCCTACATAATAATAATAATAATAATAATAATAATAATAATAATAATTTTTATTTATATTTCCCGCCTCTCCCTATGGATCAAAGCGGGATAACAAGTAATATAAAAATACAAAGCATAAAATATATAAAAACCACAACAACAATACCCCCCCCACAATAAACCCCATAATCCCTCTAAATTAAAACCCACACCCTATCCCCAATCCAGAGAGCCGGTTGACTTCATCTTCAAACACCCGGAAGGTCATATCGATAAGTCAATTAGTTTTTTTTACAAATTAGGAAGGTCAGGTGGGTAAGCCCGCCAGAAGAGCTCCGTCTTAAGTGCCTTCTTAAAGGCTTCTAGTGTATTAATAAGGCGGATCTCCTCCGGCAGGCTATTCCAAAGCTTAGGAGCTGCTGCTGTGAACAATCTCTGGAAAGTTACCTTTAATCTGGTGTTATGATATTCTAACAAATACTTCCCTGATGTTCTAAGAGTGCGAGGCGGATTATGTAGGGAGAGGCGTTCCTTCAAGTAACTCGGACGCAAGACATTGTAACAAAACACTTCTACTTCATTAACAGAGTTATACCTGTTTATGTATAACTAAGGGTGCCTCCAGATAGGTAACAAATTTCTGTCTGGGCACCTGTGGTGCACATTGGTAGAACTCAATGCACATTGGGACACTCTTTGCAGGTGTCATGTTATTCATATTCATAATTTACTAACAGAGTTTCTCTGCACTTCTACTATGTAGCTAAATATACATAAATTTAGACAACATAGACCATCACAGACAGACAGCATAGCATAGTGGTCTGAGTGTTGGACTATGACTCTAGAGACCAGAGTTTGATTCCCAGCTTGGCCATGAAACCCACTGGGTGACCTTCTGCAAGTCACATGCTGAAGGCAATGGCAAACCTCCTCTGAACAAATCTTGCCAAGAAAACCCCACGATAGGGTCATCTTAGGGTCGCCACAAGTTGGAAAGTCAGAAATGACTTGAAAACATATGAAAATAACAACAAAGACTATCATAGAGGATTCTGTCCCTCTTAAATAAATAAATTTTCTTATCCCTACCTGTGCCATTGAGACACACTCTATTAAGGTATGTGTGACAGGGTGGGTAGGATTTCTTGGCCATATTTGACTATGCAAATGGAGAGGGGAGGTTTCTGTGAGCTGTAGTTCCAAAAAGTAACTTTTCCAAATATTGCTATTATAGATGCCACGCTTACATACCCCCCACCCTCCATTTACTTGTGAAAATGTGTGATTAATAGAACTGTCTGAACATCTTGCATATCTTAAAAGTGAGATATCATTAACACCGTTGGCCAACAGCCCCCACCATTTTTAATACTGTCTGTCTGAAAGTGATGATGAGAATAACCCATGTGTGTGTTCTGGGTGGTGTGGTGAGGGGGAGGCTGGTTGCCTGAGGCGTTTATACAAGCAGCCATAATAAACGTAAATCAAGTAGCACAGTAGGTTAAGCCAGAAGCAAGTGTAAATGAAAAAAAGACTGTGTGAAGCCACATTAAACAAGTCCTGCTGCCTAATCTAAAGTGCAAACCAAATTCCATGTATGCAAAACACTTTCCCTATTTACGTCCCTGCTTTCATAGATCTTTCCATCTTGTACAACCACGATCATTTAAGAGACCAACAAAGCATATAGAATATCAACTGGAGTGAAATTATGATTTTCGTCAAAACATTTCATAAGCAATTGAGGTCCTAATTTGATGGTGAAGAGAGAAAAGGGTTCCTTTTGTGCCCATCTGCTTGCAATTGACTTAAGGGCCCCATAGGTCCATGCATTATTTGCTTGTATGTACTCATCAGAAAGATGTACTGCCTAATGTGCAGGACTATAAACTCAGATCTGTGATGGCAGACACTGTGTTTTTGCTTTGAAGATGGATCTACACCCCCAATCCCCATTTCCCTTTGGAAAAAAAAAAGCCTTACAATTTGCAATTCAATAAGAATATTATAATAATGCATCATATTTTTCAAGGGCTCTAACAGCATATTTCATGCATATGGCCTTCTAAGGAGTTTGCAAGTTAGGTCAAATTTATTACATTCATATTACAGATGGAAATAATGAAAAAGACACTTATACTTATTGGGTTTTATGGAGCCCAGCTTATTGAGTCGCAGTTCCCACATTTATTGACTTTTACAAGGAAAGTAATCCTTCCTGCAGGCTTTTCCATCTATTTTGTTTACTTATTTTTAAAGCAATTTCTCCACCACTGAATTTTGTGGCAGGGCAGCAGGGATCCTGGCAAGGGCTGGAAAAAAATGGCTAGAAGGAGCACATGCCATGTGTCAGCCTCCTGTGGTTTAGATCCTCATTCAAACAATGTATTAATTAACTGTGCGCCTTGGGAGCACTGTCTGCTGCATTTACCCACACTTCATCATAATATATTTGCAATTACAGTCGCCCCTCTATTCTCGTGGACCTGAGGTCCACAGTTTTGCATATTCATGAAGGGGCAACCTCCACTAAAATCAATGGAGCAGACCCCCGCAGGCTCACTCTCACCAGCACCCACAAGGGCGCACCCCATTCAAGCCTATGGAGCTTGAGTATTGGCAAGTCTCCATTTTCGTGGGGTGGTGGTGGTCCAGAATGGACCCCCCGCGAAAACAGAGGGCTGACTGTATAGATCCAGAATTGTGTAGCAGGACCGCCTTATCCAGTAGTTATTATAGGTTACAATGCAGTAATATAGAATCTATGATAATAACTATCACAGTGTAATTAAAAAGGGCCATCCATAAAATGTGGTGCTTATAAAGACATAGGGGGACTGCAGACGGGCGGCTCTGGGCCTCCTTGGGAAGCGGCAGATCGGGGCCATGGCAACCCCATGCTCCCTTTTGCCACCCCAAAAAGACCGGCAGAATGCTCTTCAGTGCCCTTTCTGGAGCAGCATGTCAGAACACTGAGCTGGGAAGGCGTCTTGATCCACGCGCCATGCATAACAGCATGCGGCATCAGGAAGACATTGGCGTGGGGTTTGGGCGGCCAGCATGCGGCTGCCCTGCCCCAACTCTGCCTCCAGGCAGAGGCACTATGGGCCTCTGCAGAGGCCCATAGTGGGAAAGGGATTTGAGCAGTGACAAATAGATTACTCAAGGAATTGTAAAAAAATATAAGATTTAATGATGGGTGCAGTATGGGATTTGGTGATGGACACAGAGTTTGACACTCTACCCAATTTTTGTTTAAGAAATGAAGGTTCTAAAGATAATCTTTGAAGGCAATAAAGTGGCCAGATGTACTAGATTACAGAGAATAGTAACTATTGAAATGACTTGAAGAAGACAACTCTCTATTTGATGTTCTCCTTTCTTCAAAGGGTTTTTCAGTCACTCTGGAGACCAGGGTTTGAATCTTCGCTCAGCCATGGAAACCCACTGGGTGGCCAAAGCAAGTAACGTTCTCTCAGCCTTCATGGAAGGGAAAGGCAAACCCCCTCTGAACAAATCTTGCCAAGAAAACCCCTGACAGGGTTACTGTAAGTTGGAAACAATTTGAAGGCAGGCAAAAATAAGCCTCAGAAATACAACTTGTAAAAAGCTTGTACTTACTTTCTAGTGACAGGTGTTAAATGCACAAGAGTAATGAGAACAATCACATATTATTGCAAACCAAGACCATGTGCCACTTATGTCAAATATGTCATAAGTGCATCATTTAGTTTGAAGATGAGAAGCAGGCATACAGGTTGCTTGGTTTCAAGAGGTACTGTACTTCTATTTAAAGTATAACTATTATTTCTAAATTATAATCTAACAGCACTTCCTAATGTATGCACATTTCTAGCCTCTGTTAACCTTCTTATTTGGTGATGTGTTAATGGCTACCATAGTGACAAAAGATGAACTGTCTCTTGCCTAAAATAGAACAAAGCTTGGCAAAGTTGGAGGCTTTTAAAAGGTATTTATGGGTGGTCTACAAATATTACAAAGAAAAATTGGGCAGAGTGAGATAAAATGTCTGGCAATATCCTTCAGAGCTTGGGGAGATTACTTTGCCGGGATGCAATTCCTAAAGCCCCTTTCCACATAATGGCTGGAAGATTCTGGGAGTTATAATCAAAAAGTAACTTTTGCAAAATTTGGCATCCTAAAAACAAAGGTCACAGTGCACTATTACTGCATGCTAATGCATCTAAAGGCCCCATTTTAGCATCCTATACCAGTCTCAGGTTCCAAAGAAGTTTTTAAAAATGGCAATAATTTACACAGGTGTTTTATAGGCTGTCTTCCTATTGATTGGCTTGGATCATGTGAGTCTGAAACCAGTTCCTATTGGTCAGGAATGGTGAGGTGAGTTCTAGGAGGGGTCACATGACCCCCTCAGGTTGTTCCACCCTAGTGCTTCTGGGTGAAGAAGGCACAGCAATCATTTTGACAAGCATCAATAATTTTTGACAGGTATTTGATCATTGTTGACAGGTCATCAATCAAAAACCCATCAATAATTTTTCAACAGGAGCTAACCTTTCTTCTACTCCTGGGCTTTACTCCTTTAACAGAAACTTTGGTACCAGAGATAGGAATAATATGCAAAGAATATGGATAGGTTCCAACACCACAAAAAAGAACAGCAGTTCAACATGTTTCAGCAAATTTTTTATTCAAAACTAATGTTATACACATGCAAAATGAAACAACCAGGTCAAGTAACCATTGCATAAGTAAACAAAAATATGAATCTTCTAGAGACCACATGAAAGCTTCTTCCAAAATGCGTCCCAGGATTATTATTTTTTTAACAGCCACTTTTCTTATGATTTCTATTTTGGTGGCAACATTTATAAATCTGTGCATTTTTGACATGACAGGGTAGCTGGTGAGGTAGACTAATCTGATTTTCTCTGGGTTTTTTTTTCTATTTTGCTCTTCACACATGCTCAGTAAATTATTTTTGAGGGACCTCTTTGCTTTGCTTGTTGTAAATAAGTACGCACAGCTACAGTAAGATCACCAAGAGCAGAATTCCTTTCTTTCCCAGGTCATGTTTTATCGCACTGTTTATTGCAGACATACTGCTACAACCCAGCACTGAAAGCCTGTCTTTCTCAGCCCTGATTCACCATCTCACCAATGCCAATGCTGCAAAAAGCTTCCAGCTAGATGGAAGAAAGGAAGAGAAGCTAGGTTTGGCTCCCATAAAAAGACTTTTTAGAAAGGAGTTTGTTGGTCAGAGGTTTTGTCAACTACAATATGCCTGTACTGTAGTTCCAACAATGATAAAAAAAAAATGAAATAGGTGAATAAGTATCAATTAAGGTACTAGAACAATATTCACCCTGAGGTACATTGAATAAATGGGCTTGTTCCAGATTTGAGAGAGTTGTTTGCTCTCTTCTACGTTTGTTTTGGAACTATATGCATCATACTCAGTGAAGAGTAGATGACTCCATATTGTAGGCAATAATAATCTTTTAATCCATAGAAGCTAGAATATCTCTTTCTGGTGGGAAACCCTCCAGAGGAGGGTTTCCATTACCATCTGTGGCTGAGAGAGTGTGGCCTGACCAGTGTAATCCAGTGCCTTTGAGTCATTTCCAGCTTATTTTGACCCTATCATGGGGGTTTGCTTGGCAAGTTTCTCCAGAGGAGGATTTCCATTACCATTTGGGGCTGAGAGAGTGTGGCTTGACCAGGGTAATCGAGTCATTTCTAACTTATGGTGACCCCTATCATGGGGTTTTTTTTGGCAAGTTTCTCCTGAGGAGGGTTTCCATTACCATCTGAGGCTGAGAGAGTGTGACCTGCCCAAGGTAACCTAGTGCCTTGGAGTCATTTCTAATTTATGGTGACCCCTATCATGGG